CGGTTATTGACCTCTTCTCTGACCAAGTTCAGAGGTTAATCAAGTCCCTACCTGTCCTTGGATATGCTGAGCCTTACTTCTTGGCACGACCACAGGCCAAAGGTCAAATAAACCCTGTCTGTATAATTGCTTGTGGGCCACAGACTGGGGCAAAGGGGTGAAGGTGACAAAGAGCAAAAACCCAGTCCCATAGAGAACACTGTAGTGCCATGTCAAATACAATTACCAGCGTGTGTGCTTGTGTGTCCATGTCTTAATGTTTATAATCAAGTTTTGGTGTGTGTGTGTGTAAGTGTGTGTGTTTTAGTGAATCCTCAGGACGCTTTGTAGTACGCTGTGAACATGGGGAAACAGGACATCATCTGCTAAACAAGGACAAGGAGCTCAGCTGGCCCCAGTGGACAGCTGCAGCTGGGAATAACAGGTCTTGGAGAGGCAAGGTCTAAATAATGGATGCTCCTTCCTTTAAGAAACACACTCTGTACAATCCACAATAGTAAAAATAAGTTTGGGACAGTACAAGACACACGGCACCAAGACACTGGAGACCATCATTCTCCAAGTAGCAAAATGAAAACTGCATTCGAAACAAAAACCAAACAAAAAACACAAAAAGAAAAAGTTTAAAAAAGAGAATCAAGCAATCCCCAAAGTGTGTCCCAAAGGTAGGTTTCATTGTGATATGATTTTGATAAGGATTTTAGAGAAAAGAAGAGAGTTTTCATCTAAATCATTCAACTCACCAGTCTCAATCATACATATCTCTTATTCTAAGAGTTGCACTGAAGACAAGTACAGTATAGCGAAAATAAAAAAAGAAGGAATAGTCTCAATCGGCTACTTCAAAATGCTGTTGAGTGAGGGCCTCCCTGTCTATCTCTCTCTTTCTCTCTCTGAACAAGGTATAATACGAGATGGTAAAACGAAAAGCATAAAAAAAACTAAAAGTTAAAAGTATTCCAGTCATTTATAAAAATAAGTGGTGCTTAAAGAACGGTGAAGCTCTGTTTTTTGTCCCCTTTGCTCTTTTTCCCCCCTTCTTCTTTCCAGGGCCTGCTGGCCTAATCCCAACCAGCCAGCCTTGGGTGAACTCTTTGGAAGCTTCTTAAGCCCATGAATGTGCCTTTTGTTCCTGCCATTCCTCCGCTTGGCTGACAGAAAATAGCTAACTGGATTACTGCTAAAATTCAGAGTAAAGTGAACTCCCAAACTTCTATATGGCAAAGAGAGCCGTCCCCCCTTCACTATCCTCATCAGCATCCCTCCGATTAGACTTTCTATCCTTCCATCCCTCCCTCTGTCCTCCCTGTCTAACTGCCTCCTCCACCAACATCCCCCTAAACATGGCCCAGCGGTGTGTGATCTGGAGGAGAGGAGAGCAGAGGGATTAGATAAGGTTGAGAGGCTGCACACTATGAACCCAAGGCTAAAAAGTGAGAATCCTAAAAGCAGTTAAGAGCTTATTAATGTGTGTAAGGAAGCATATTAATAAACTCAACTCTATCAGGGGCTGGAGGGTGTATGTATATGTGTGTTTTGTTTGTGTGTCAGTCTTTCTAAGTCAATATCTTAAAAAATAAAGTATGTGATGTAACTGTGTGACTATTACAGGTATAAGTGAAAAGCGAGACAGCTAGTAATTGAAGTTTATGTTTTTTTTGGGTGTCATTTTAGATTTCAATATATAAAAAGGGGTAAAAGTATATATTTGAGTGTGTGTGTTTCTGAATGGCTGTGTGCAGGTGGTCTACCAGCTCAGCAGGAGTTAGAATGCGAGATGTAGTGAATAAAGAAAGGTTTGTGTGTGTGTGTAAGTGTGTGTGTGTATGTGAGAGCCCATGTGTCTTGGGTGGGTGAAAACAGCCCTGCTAAAGAGGTTTGATTTGATCCACCACCCACCCCGACGAACAGAAGTGTAAACACACATGCATGTGCGCACGCACGCACGCACGTCAAAAGCTTAGTTATTTTTCCACCTCTTTTACTCTTTTGTCTGTCGGTATGTGTGTTCCTTTACACAACTGCATGTGTGTTTTTTTGCTTGCGTGTATGAGTGTGTGTGTGTGTGTGTGCGCGCATGACAGCTTACTCTGGGGGGGACAGCGGCCAAACACTGGAGAGTAAAGCAGTGCAGGAGGAGGCGTGGACGATAGAGGCGAGGTCATACACACAAACATCCTGCTGACTTCTGGGTCAAAGGTCAAAATTCAAGGGGCACCAACACAGAGCCAAACTGCTCACTCATTAATCTTTATCCCGAGTCTTGCAATCCCTGCATCTAAGGACAAGTATGTTTGGCTGGAAAATCTAAACCTTCTACATGACCCTTACTTTTCTAGTTAATGAGGTTAATTTTGTATTATCCTGCGGCTCTGAAAAAACAGATGTAGAACGTTTTAATTTCTTTTTTTAGATCCATCTCTCAATTCAAATATGCCACAACACTGGATATTGCACTATGGACTGCTAGAGAAACAGTATGGATTGCTTAATCAATTTGACAGATTATATTTAACAAAAAACTGGATTGAAATGACACAGAGCTGGTGTTTTATTTTCTTCCGTTATGATGTCTGCACTGACTTTCATCTCATGGAGTTCTGAAAAGCCAAGACTCTTACAGCCCCTACACATGGTGGCGTGCGTTGAAGCTTGCCGGCGGGCGTGTCTGAAGCTCGACCAACAACCAATCACATGAATCTCCCGCCCCGGACACACAAGCACGCGGTTTGATTGGCTAGAGCTTGTACTGGCATATGATTCGATTGGCTGACGCTTCCGTCGAAGCTTCAAAAGTAGAACATTGCTCTACTTTTGAAGCGAGCAAGCGAAGCTTTGCTCCCACAATGCAGTTCGGCAAAGCGTGACATCACCCCATTCAAAGTGAATGGGCAGAAGCATTGAAGCTTCAACGCACGCCGCCGTGTATAGGGGCCGTTAAATTGCTCGGTATTTCCGAGTCACTGCAGTCTCAAAAAGACAAGCCATTTCTGCATACCGCCCTTGTCTCAATGCATCTGACCCTGTCCAGCATGCATTATGCAGGCTTGGGGATAGCAAGCTGAGTCCAATATCAAGATGTGAATAATATTGCATGCTTCCTCGAAGGATAAGGGAACCTTGGTTGGGACTGTGTTAACGACCTCACACTGCGTGTTAAAGATTTAAAGCAAGAGGAAGGGAGTAAGAATAGAATATTTATAAATGTATATTATAAAAGGAGAAAAAATAAAACAATTGAATACATGGTCATTTTATTGTGGGTCTAACACAATGTAAATGGCAAAACCAGCATATTCCCAACACACACACACACACACACACACACACACACACACACACACACACACACACACACCACACACACACCACACAACACACACACACACACACACACACACACACACACACACACACACACACACACACACACACACACACACACACACACACACACACACACACACACACACACACACACACACACACCACACACAACACACACACACACACACACACACACACACACACACACACACACACACACGATTATAACTAATGGGTTTTGTATATTAATGTATTGCCTAAAATAAAAATATATATAAATAAGTGACAGTTGATGCAAGTTATTTTGACTGAATTAATGTGAAATAAATGGCAGATTGTTTACCACACGTGTTATTTCAGCGAGTGCAAAGACAAATCACAAGTCCCATGACAGGGGAGACCAGCGTAGATGTATAGAAGTGTGATAGAGTAAGATAGAACTGATGCTAATTAACCCTTATTAGAGTGTGTGTAAAGGTACTGCCAGGGGGTGAGAAAAAAAGGGGCCGAGTTGACAGCTCACACACCGCCCGCAAGTCCCACAGCAGACCTAAGTCTTTTCAGACACCAGAGACTGACGTATTACTCACTCACACTCTCTCACACAAACACGCACAAGAACACACACACACACACACACACATACACTAAAGCAAGACACAGAAATCCATCAGGACCATTTTTCTGTGAAGGAGGAAGGCTAACCATTTGTGCACACACTATTCAAAAAGTATACTGAATGAGAGCTTTTAATAAAACTGAAATTCTCTGGACCCCATTTAGGAGGCCAATTATCAATTGTATTGGCAATTGGGTAAAACAAAAAGACATTTACGAAGAGGAGAACGCTGTTTTAATTTCTCATCACCTTGCCCATATTTATTTATTCTAAGGGTTGCTTCCTTTGTTTGACCACAAGGTAAACTGGCCAAGCTCTGTGTGTGTGTGTGTGTGTGTGTGTGTGTGTGTGTGTGTGTGTGTGTGTGTGTGTGTGTGTGTGTGTGTGTGTGTGTGTGTGTGTGTGTGTGTGTGTGTTTGTGTGTGTGTGTGTGTGTGTGTGTGTGAGTGATTAGGTGGTGTACGGGCAGTGTAGCATGATAAGAATGTTGCAGTGTGTTTGCAGAGTGTGTGTTAGGGAGATAATAATCCCAGCGGTTAACAGGAGTGAAGGGCCAGAGCTGCACTGACCAGCCCACCATCTGAGAGAGAAAAAGAGAGCGAGAGAGAGGAAGAGGGAGAGAGCGAGGTAGCCATGTGGTTAACACTTGCTGACTGAGAGGCGACTGGAGCACAGCCAACCTCTTCACACACAGGCTGACCACACAAGAGCCTCTCTTTCTCCCTCTGCCTCCCATCCTCCCTTCCATCCTCCCATCATCTCTTGTTACTTAACATTTCCTTCCCTGGTTTCCTCAGCGAGCCGCCTCCCACCCTGCACCTTCTTGCCACTTTTGTCTCCTGCTAACTTTTCCAAATTCCTCCCTCCCATTTTCTCACCTATGCCTCTATTCCTACCTCCTCCCACGACCCTAACTGTCAGTCTGTCCAAATCATGTCTGCTTTTGACGAACATCTATTCTTCTGTCCTTCCAAGCGGCTCTCACAACACTCCCCTCCTGCCTTTCTCTTTTCTTTCCCCCCTCTTTCAGTCTCTCCATTTCTCTACAACTTACCCGTATAGGGATCCGCTCAGTTTCTGTCTCCTTTTGTGGGTTACGATACTTCTCATAAAATTCTCTCTTCTTTTTGCCCTCTTTATCATCTTTGCGATCCCGTTTTTCTGCAGGTTCGTCAGAGGGTTCGGTAGGAGAGGGCAGGGGAGAGGACATGGCTGACTTCTCCACCTCCAGGTAGTTCTCGTTGGGATTGAGCACCATCACACCGTAGCCCTCCTAACAGATAAGAAACACACAAGTATGTGTATAAGAACCATGGCAACAGGATCATCCACATCATAATTGTTCATAATACTTGCTTTACAATTTAATACAAGATATATCTATTGATAGAGAATAATATAACAAACCTCATTTATATAGGTGCTTAACATTAAAACAAATATTAACTAAACAGGTTGATAAGACAACATGCATTAAAAGAATAGCTTCAAAGTGTCTACGGGGAAGAAGAAAATATCTACAACATATCTTCAGGTAAAGAGCATGGCAGATGGGAGTGTGTGTGTTTGTGCGGTGAGAGAGTCTGGACAAACAAGCACCCATAGAGATATTGTATTTTTTTCCAACCAAAAAAGATGATATTAACTCTGTCAAACCTACTGAGGAAAGCTGGTGTAGCACCGCAAGAAAATCTCTCTTACGATGAAGCTCAGAAACCTTTCTACTCAGGCTAAATCTGATTGGTCTTAAGTAGTTTAAGAAAATCTTGGTAGTGGGTATCTATGAGCAAATAATACCGTAACTGTGAGAGGACTAGGGAAATGACTGAAAAAATCCAGACTGAAAGAAATGGCAGAGAAAGAGACAGAGGAGAGAGTGTCACTGCAGGGACAAGCCTGGGAAGTAACTGGGGGATTGAAATTCAGCACCGGTGGTTTCAGTCGGTGAGTAGCATTTAGTGACTCCAAAGGCCATGTGTCACTTAATATCAAACACAATCGATCCCACCATCACTCAAAGAGTTAGCTGCAATTGAATAAGTATCTGTGTATGAGCATGTTATTGTGTGTAAAGGACGTCAGACAGCACTGCAAATAAAAGGTGTACAAAAGCCAAAAAACATTTGAATTAATATTACAAATATTTGTTTTACTATACTTCAAAATGCCAACAAAAAAATTAAGAATCAGAGGGAAATGTAAAAGAAAAGGAACCCAAGTGGTTATAATAAGAACAGATTACAGAGGGTAAATGTATTGTGAAGAAAAGGAAGTTTTCTGGTAGCCTTTGGTGACTTCTTCAACTTTGAAGCAATTTTAATTAACTGTTTATTATCCCAAGCACTCTGAAACTAAAGCAGGAAATGGATGGATTCCTGTTTCACTTTGGTTGTGCTTAACACACACAACCCCCATTGGGACACACGTACACACACCCCAAGACTCAAATGTATTGGTAAACGACTGTGCAAACACACACACACGAACGAGTATGAAAGACAGCAGTGCTGACAAAAAGACCTTTAGGAGGAGTTGTGAGAGGGAGTTCGTTCAGCTTCCTTTGCAAATCTTCATCACACACACACACACACACACACACACACACACACACACACACACACACACACACACACACACACACACACACACACACACACACACACACACACACCACACACACACACACACACACACACACACACACACACACACACACACACACACTCCTCAAGACGGCACGTCTCCTCTTCCTTGATAAGTGTTAACACATTGTGCTTGTCTTCCGTTGACGCAGCTTGAGTGTGTGTCCCTCCTGTGCCCATCGACATCAAACCTGCCACACACCCCTTCCCTTAGCACCTGCCGTGTGTTGACAACGGCAAAATAACACTTTCTCACTTATTCAGATTATAAAATTGGTTTGATTCTCACTCCCTTTCAAATTTAGACAAGGCTCTCGATAGACATATTTTGTAATGTAAAAGGTGTTATAAATATAAAGAGTATTGACTTAAGACAACATTTGAATTGTGAGGAATATTGGACATGATCAAATTGCTAATTACTTTTATTTTAAGTACATGTTTAAAATAAATATTTTGCTATTACATCAGCTTTTACTATTCAAAACATGTATTTTGAAATTCTAATTTGAAAAAATGTCCTGCTGCATAATGGCATCTGCATGATGATGGAGTAAAGTTTGAATTTTACTTCAAGGCACAGCAAGTCTAATGGTAATTTGGCAAGTGATTTATGACTTGAAAAACTACATGTCCCACATTATAGTTTGTATGCAAATTCTAGGTAGATGATGTTTCTTCTAACTTGGATTTGTATTAGTCTGTGTGCCTATGTATGTTCAGAAGAAAAAGTGAAACTTGGAGAGGTATGGATGAGAAACTATTAGGGAGACTTAATATTGCCTGCAGATATCACATAGACATTTGCACACAAATATAGAAACCCAGACAGATGGATCGCTGGATGAAAAATAAATAGGAGTGGGTGAGCAGAGGAGAGAGCAGAGGAGACAGAGAAAGAACAAAAAGTGAAAGCAGAGAAGGGAGTTATAGATAGATAGATAAAATGATAAGACTAAGATAGATAGAGAAGGAAGGAGAGACAGAGAGATGGAGTCTCACCAGATCCACACCAGCTTTGTGCCACTGCCCACTGGTGGCAGCCTGATAAAATAACTGACAAGACCAGTTCAGCTTACGGCAGCAGCATTATAAGAACCACATATATTTTAAAATCAATAAATGATTACATTTAATACTGATGAGTAAAATGTATTTATAAAAATACTAAGTAATGACACATTGAAAACCACTCTCCATTGCAAACACATTTTCCAAACAAAGGAGGAAATAATGACAGAAAAAAAATCAAAGCCTTGCATTTCACCACCATCACATCACTGTGTGTGCATTTCTCCTTTCCCCTAATCCTGGTTCAGAAGGCCAAAAGTTAACCGTTTAGCAACACTGGCCCACGTGTTCTGATGCTAACCCCGAGTGGCCTACAACCATGTCTTCAGGGCTCTTACCCTAACCCTTACTGGTCAATAACCCTTCGTGGCCCTAAGCATACTTTTGGTAACCTCAAGTGGCCCGGTTCGTAGCCTTTAGCGTCCTTATGCTAACCCTGAGTGGCCTATAGCCTATGGCCTTTCCTTTGGAGAGGCTAACACACCTAACCGAGCTAACAGTGCTAACCCTTTCAGCTGTCCAGTCACCCAGAAGGACATTGCTGTAAAGGCAACCAGTGTTGTCGGCGTACTTAGTCTGGAGGAGCAGGGCCTACGTCGGAAACCATCATTTATTTGAACATTGAGAGGTCTGTGTTGGTGTCAGCATAGCACTGTGTTCCCTGTCCAGACACTTCCTGCTCTTATTCTTCTCTCCATCAACTCTATTTACAACAAAGAGCCGATGAACAGAAAATGAAATTTGCTTTGACATTTTTTCCCCACAATTTCACCTTATTTTTATATAATTGTCTTTTTAAAAGTGATTCCAATAAATACAAATTCATATAAATGTATACTGTCATTGTCTATTTGTATATTAGAAACCTATCGACAAAAACAATTATATTTAGAAGAAAAATACATATTAAATTCAAATTAAACAGCACTTTGTGAATGTTTATCCCGATCCCCACAGAACTAATTTCTCCCACAGAGCTTATCATCATCATTCTAGTCTTTACGTTGTTTTTTGACAGCCAAATCTCTCCATACATCATGCAATACACCCTTGTAGAGTTAGGTCATATGGCCTTTGTGTTTCTTGCTATCGGTCAAGTCGCTCCCACATACATACACACAGACACACACACGGGATACACCTGCTAAATCTGATCTTTGTGTTCTGATGTGCTGTCAAAGTGTGAATCTAACACAAATGCACACTGCAAACCTCGGGTCACCCAGCTTTTTATACAACTAAATCTCTCTCTCACACATTGCTCACATTGGGTCACGTTGCCTTTGTCCTATACACACACACACACACACACACACCGTCTCAAATTAAATACACACACACAGTTCTCTAGCGTTGGATCAGTCTTGTCTTTCTGCAGCAGTATGCAGGCTAAAGTCTCTTCCCATGCCCTGTGTGTGCCCCTGTGCCACCATCACACTGAGCCCCTGCCCTGGGGCCAGCGGTCAAGAGGGTCGCCCCGACCCCTCTGAGGGGGGGCACCCCGACCCCCATCACCCCGATCTGGACGATCCTTAGCACTCCTTTGTGGGCCTGTCCCACACCAGATAGCACAACAAAGGCTGCGGCTGCTAAGGAAACCAGGGCTTGTCTCATCATCGTGATGAAACCCTTCCTCCGTCTCCCCACACACAGCATTATGAAGCTCTTTAAAACATTAATTATCCTCACTATCTGCAAGGTATTGAGAAAAAAATATTAAAAAGCATAACATATGAAGCTGCAATATACTGTGTGAATATCATGACTATTTGTGATTCATGATAACGGTATCTGAGCCATACCGCGCCATCTTAACAATATTGTCAATACTCTTTGATGACAATGATGCACCCCCTTCATGGTCAAATTAGATGCCGCTTGTCCACTAGAACTTTGATGGTAACAGACCATTATTTTCCCTTCCAGTCGCATTATTTGAAAAGAAAGCAGATACCGTGTGTATGTCTGTGTGTGTGTCCACATGTTAGTGAGTGCACACGAGCAAGAGAGAGTAAATAAGATGTCCCTTTAAGACAGCAGCACCTCTATTTTTCTAGTGGCGTTGTAATGAAATGAAATGTGTCTAATGTGCGGGAGCGGGGAGAGAGGCGGCCGGAGTGAGAGGGTGTTTCATCTGTGCGTGTGGAGCTCAGCGAAGCTTTGATGTGAGAGCTCTCATGTAGTGAGCAGGGCTTTGGGCACAGGGAAAAGGACAGCACTTGACAGGTACAAAGCATGGCTGATAGCGGTCACGGGTGCATGCAGTGAGGAAAGTGGATGGTATGGTTGTGTGAATTTAGGGTTGTATGTGAATAGGAGCAAATAAATGCTCTGGTGTATTTATGTATCCACGCGCTTGTATCCTACATGTTGAGATTCAAAGTGCAATAGGTTTCTTTTCAAATTGGATCACGAGCATCTTACTTTATGAGTTTATTGTCGGGCTGCTGTTAAGACCGAGGCAAACGGCGCTCCCTTTTCTCAATAGCCTTCGCTCCACTTCCTTGATTCAGCAATACGCAGCTCCGGATTCGCTGCTCAGGCTTGACTGACAAGGGGG